AACTGAGTGAGAAGGAGCAGGAAGTAGAGCAAAAGAGATTAGAAGCTGAGATTAGGAGTAATTTAATTAGAGAACAAGGGGAAAAAATTAGGCAACAATCCGGACAAATAGATAATTATCAACGCTTATTAAGGATTAGTGAGGATAATTTGAAAAAATGTCAAGGGATTATTCAGCAGAAAGAACAGCAATTGGAGGAATTAGAAAAAGAGAAAGATTTGATTGGGGAGGAATTATCTTTAGCAAATAGCAAAATCCAAGAGTTAGAATCGACCTTGTTGGCGGCTAATGGTAAGATGGGGAGATTAGAAGCCCGGATTAGGGAATTGGAAAGTAAAGGGGATAATAGTGAGGAGTTGGAAAGATTAAAAAAAGAACTTGCGGCCGAGAAGCAAAAAAGTCAATCAGAGAGGAGTAAATCCCAAAGTGAGATAAATCGTCTAAAACAAGAATTACAACAGACTAAATTGCGAGAGGAACAATTAGCTCAAAAGATTAAAGAATTGGGGGCTAAAACAGTAAAAATTCAGGAAGTAGTTGAGAAAAGTTTTTGGGAGAGTGTTAAGACTCCTTTGTTTTATGGGGTAGGAGTAATAATAGTAGTGATTGGTTTAGGTTGGATTTGGAGTAAATTATCTGAGTAAATATGTTCAGCAAACTATTTTTATTATTAATAATTTTGTTGGTAGTCTGGGTTATTAGTTGGTTTACTTCCTCACCGACTAAAAGTGATAAAAAGGCTGAGGAGACTAGTTGAGAAAAGGAGAAAGAGCAAGTTCAAAAAGAATCAGAGGCCGAGCAAAATAAAGAATGATTTAAAGAAGGGAGATGGTTGACGGATAAAGAGATTGATTGGGCAACTGCAAAAATGGAAAAAAAACAATCAAATGCCGGGCTCTTTTCCGGGTCAACAAACTCCCGGCAGATTTAAAATCCTCCCCGCCCATCAATTTCATTTAGTCCGTGAAGCCCAAAAATGAAGTAAGGAAGAGGAATTATTTACTTATTTGCTAAGTGAATTGACCGATGCAACTGCGGAATTAGTTTTTATTCCGGTTAATCAGTCTAATTTCCATTGGTCGCTTCTGGTTTATGAAACCAAAACTAAAACTTTTTACCACTATGACACTTTAGGAGGAGCCAATTGAAATTATATAAAAGATTTAGTGTATGAACTTTTAAAAGAGTTAGAAGTTCCTAACCATCTGACCTGACAACATTTTTTAGCCCGACATAAGATTAGGCAAAATAATGGTTGAGAGTGTGGAGTGGCTATTTTGGCTATTATGAGGAGGATTAGAGAAAAGTATGGAGGAGATATGAATAATACTGAACTAGGAGGGCTTGACTTCACAAAAGAAAGAGAGAAGTTAAGAGAAAAATATTTACAATCCAATAATTAAACCTCCACCAAAACTAAATCCCCCTTAATCATCTCCCTAAACTCCTCACTCATCTGTTTTCAATTAACCAATTCCACAAAAAAAGGCAAGTCAGATTCTTCCAACTCCCCTTTAATCTGATAAACAATCTCTTGGGGAATCTCTTCCTGATAACATAAATCTAAATCAGAAAACTTTCTTGCGGTCCCTTTTACCCGTGAACCATAAGCATAAAAATGGTAGGGGTATTTGCTAAGAATTTGCCTTAGCAGTTGCCAATCTTGTTCTTCCATTCTAATCATTTAATTCTTTACTTTTCTTTTCTAAATTTTTAACTAATTGCTCCAACTCTTTCACAAAAGGAGTTAAAAGGTTAAGCAATTCAGTTAAAATATCTTCCCGGTAAGTATGAGTAGTTAAATTTCTCTCTTCACCAAACTTAAATCAAATTTTGGGATTATCTAAGTAGCCAAATTGAGCCGCTAAACGGAAGGTTTCACGAGGACTGCGGCTTTCTTTTCCTTCTCGGCTTAAAAATTTTTGTAAAGTTTTTCAAGCAAGTTCATAACTAACTTCAAAGGCCTGGATAGCACCCATTTGTCCTCATTCGTCTAATTCCTCGTTTTCTAATTTGATTAGGGATTTTTGGAGGAAATTTAGCATGCGAAGGAGGGGTTGGAGGTTGATTTTTTGGTTCATTAATTACTTTTGGG